AACCATTATTTGCGTTAATTTAAGTTAGAATTCTACTAAAACAATTAGATTATTCGCTCTCGATTTCTATGAGGTGATAGTTGATTCGGCCCTCAGCCTCATCAACTGTCACCTCATAGAAATCTCGAGCTCATAATCTAATTGTTAAATAAAAACATGATTTTTAACCAATCAGCGCGCGTATTTTGTTAGGACTGTTTTCTAATTGCTTTTGTTGTTGGCTTTCGGTGTTTTATTTAGCTAGTTTAAGAATGACTGTGTTTTCTTACAAATTATGCATAGCTTGTATCAAATATATATACCTTCACAAAGTTTCTCTTTCACAAGGCCAAAACCCCTCGGGCAAGTGCAATTATATCCTCCAATAAAGTTGACACACAGGTGACTGCAACCTCCATAGTTTACGGCACATTCGTTGTCATCTGTAACATAACATTCAAAACGATATTCAAATATGGATTTCCAAGATGCCACTTCCTCCTTGATAATAGGAATTTACTCTGTGATGCTGGAACCTTCAGTAGCTGTTCATTGCTTTTATGCGCTAGTTGAAATTGCCATAGCAACTGCAATGTATCTCAACCAGAATTTCGAGCAGCATTGTAAACCTTACTTTTTAGCATATGAATTTGCTCTTATGTCGGAGGATTAAAGCTACCAGACTATATAACTATAACTTTTATTGCCAATATGATGTATTAAGAGACCAACAACGACAAGAAAACTAATCTTTATCGGCCGTCATTGATGCTTTACTGCCGTTTTGTTTTACAGGAGGACAAGTTTTCAACGGGTGGATGAAATTCTAATATGTTTACTAACTCTTGTACGAGACCCTCTTGTTTTTTCTTGAGGTTCTAAAGTTGTCCCAAGTTTCAAGTCGGCTGTAGACGAAACCTTGGTGTTTAACGTTCAAATTATGTACTACAGACTGTGTCTTCCTGTCGTCTCGCTTTTGTCTGCGAAAAAAGAGCCCTACAATAGAAGACATACTGTTCATGTCCCTGCAGATAATCGTACCTCTGCATACTGTTCCACGATACAGACTATAGCCTTTACCACAAGAACACTGAAATCCTCCGTCAGTATTTCTGCATCTTGTTCCACATACGTTGTCATTTGACCCTGAGATCGCACAAATGCAAGCCGATTGTTGGAGGCGGCACTCATTCACGTCTGAAATTGAAAAATTCTTCGCTTATTTTGATACCTATATCATCCCTATGTCACAATAACATTATAAAATTACTTTAAAATCGGTGAAAACATCAAAATGCCAAAGTACTCGACGGCAAATAGCCAGTACACCACAAGTAGTAACGCCAAAAAGATGGTAGCAAAAAACAAAGAACGTGAAAAAGCGAGGTTCAATATTTCAAGGTGTCCTTCCGTGGTGAAGATCCTCTGGTTTGCTTTTTCCAGAAACTACTTTGTAACTTGTCAGTCAATCAAGATAACTGAATCGAACAGACAACAATAAAAAACTGTTCAGTGAGAAACTATAACCTAGCCCTCAGAGAAGAAAAGTGAGAAAACTGTGAAAACATAGTCTGCAGCAGATCTGAAATCCTTTTGTATTAACTTCTAGCTACTTCTTAGTAGACCCAAGATTACTTTGAATGTTAAATTGAAATCAAGTCTGGATCGATTTAAGCGTTACAATGAAGTAGTGGCCGCTGTAAATTTTATGGAAAACAAAAGAAATTAAGATTTACTACATTGTTATGAGTGAATGTTTTCGATTAATCTAGCCAGTTCTGGTTGTAATACCATAAAGCTCTTAAAGAAATGACCCCTCGAAACTATAGCGATGCAATTTCAAGGTTGCTAGAAACTCCAGAATCGAACCTGAAAGTAGCGAACCTTCTACTTGACTTGTATGTTGTTACACTGACAAGCTATAACAAGCTAATCCCGTGATCCTTATTTCCAAGGAAACATGTTTTTCTATTCTGATGTCAGACAAATTCTTTTTTTTAAGATTTCTCCTTTTCATTTGTAAATATGTTAATTTTTCATTCTATTAAGGTGAAGCGACTGGCGTATCGTTGAGACTGCTAAATCCTCAACTGTTTACCTCTGTTTGTCAAGTGATACTACAGTATAGGTATCACGTGAATGCGCAGCGATTGGTGAACCAATAAGTCAATAACCATCTTTATGGCATAAAATGGTTACAATAGCAACAGTATAACCTGTTAAAAACTCCTTTCATTTTAGCTTTAAATGTTTACAACTCAAAAACGAGTTCGGTGACCCCATTTGTAACGAGTGATAGCTAGCGTTGCTAGAATGAGTCATAGCAGTTACTTGGGGGTGAAATAATTCACTCGCACGGTCGGTCAGTCAGTCAGTCAGTCAGTCAGTCAGTCGATAGGTCGTAAACAATTTTTTGGTGGTAATTCCGCTGACCAGGGTATTTCGCGGAAGGACCGACCATTGTAAACAGAATGGCTGTCAAAGCGATAAACTGATATTTCACGTTTGGAGTCGAACAAGTGCTTCCAAATTAAAGACTATTTGGTATGCAACCAAGGTGGCTGTATAATTCGATCTATCGGTAGTTTTGAATGCAGCTTTTAACCGAAACTTTGCCAAAAATCATGTGCCAGGTTTTCACCCAAGAAGAGTTTTTCTTCCGCGAAGAATTATTTTGAATTGCCATATCGTCTCATTTTCTTTTATATCATTACTTTACTTTGATTGTTTGAACATTTTTTCCCTTTATAAACGCAAACCATCCCTTTGTAGCTCGGAGAAGAAGAAGAACGNGAACTACCCGCACCAGCACTCGAACCGCCGACCCTTTCATCGATTCCCTGACTGAGTCCTTACCGATGCGCCACCCTGTAAATAGGATTGATTGACTAATCATTACCGCGGATTTAAATGATTCGCACAGCGAGCTACTGCCAATTCAAATGGTTGCTGTTTTCTTCTGGAAATCACTCAAAAATGCACACCAAATGACTCGTTATGCTGGCCATGTTATCTATCATGGATATTTTAGATGCTGAACGGGTTTTCATTTTCACTGTCCACTGAGGTCAGGAGATCGCCTGGTGTGTATTCGTGCTCGTAAAAATCATCTGACTACAAAGCGCATGGCTTGTTTCAAAAACCTTAACTATTCGCCATTTTGGGCCTGCTCTGGTGTGAGTAATTTTTTAGTGCAATGAAGGAAAGAAGATGTTTTCCCCAGGACAGAAACATATCAATATCAGAATAACCCTCGACTTGATGAGTAATTCTAAAGGAAAGGAGACATAGAATAAATCTGGATTTGCTCTAATTTGAGAGAAATTAAGTTAATTATAGTTAATTATCTGTAAAGCACTGTATTCGTAACACATTCAGCTTTTTGTTAGAACTCATTACAGTCGTAACGATCAAAACAGTCCAAGTGTTCCGCCTAAATAAACTTTAAAAAAAGTGAAGCCTTGGAGCCGACTGGGTCATAGCTACCAGAGCTTATCCCGGATTCTGTAGCATGAAGCGGCTAGGAGTATTTCTACTCCCCCTGGACGGGATGCTAGTCCATCGCAGGTCACTCCCCCGCAATTTGTAAAGTTTCCCCAACAATTCGCCGGTACCCATTTATACTCCTGGGTGGAGAGAGGCACTGTGAGAGTAAACTGTCTTGCCCAAGAACACAACGCAGTGTCCCGGCCAGGGCTCGAACCCGGACCGTTCGATTCGGGGTCGAGTGCACTAACCATGAGGCCTATGAAGCGTTATTAGGGTCAAAATTAGAATGCAAATTATGGTGTTTCGTATTTTATTCGGCCACACTGATGAATAATGTTCGAACGTTTGATCGAATTATGTTCCGCTCTTTTGAATTATGTTCGGAAGTTTGAATTTATTATAGAATACTATTAAACCGTTTGTAAATTATGTTCGGCTGTTAAGAGTTATGTTCGGAATGTTTAGCTTATAATTGCTTTGGTTGTTTTCTTGATTTATGGTTTGACTTATGGAATGCGGCTTCTTCGAATTATGTTCGGCAAGTGGATTGGAGCCTCGCGTCAGGAAGCTCACGAGCAGTCCTGAGACGAGTAAATTTTNAAGAGCCGAACATAATTTACAAACGGTTTAATAGTATTCTATAATAAATTCAAACTTCCGAACATAATTCAAAATAGCGGAACATAATTCGAACAAAAGTTCGAACATAATTCATCAGTGTGGCCGAATAAAATACGAAACACCATAACATAATTTGCATTAAATTTTGACCCTAATAACGTTTCATAGGCCACCGCGCCTTAAAGGTTATCTGTAAATTAATGATTGCTGTTAAATTTATGCTGTGTCACGCAAACGTGACAAAGTCTTTAAAATCTTTTTGACCAGCCTTGTTATAACATGACCGTTTCAAATATCACGAGTTGGCTTAAAAATCCTGTACAGGCCCGCAAATGATCCCCGAACCGCAAATGATCCCCAAATTGTACCGCAAATGATCCCGGGACCGGAACTGATTCCACCGCAAAAAGTTAGGAATGGCGTGGAGTCCATGAAAAGTCTGTGGATGAATACATATTTTCTTAATTACCCTAGGTGAAGAGAAGACAAGCACCTAAGGCATAAAAGCAGCGATAAAAAACGTTGAACATACTGTGCAAAATACTAAATTGACATGTGTCGACCGGCAGTAATTTTTCGTTCAGGAAACGCACTGCAAAAAGAAACATGAATCTTCGAAGATGCCTCTGTTATCTAATTAACGCTTAGAACTTTTCCCTGTACACTTCTTATACTTGCGTCCTAGATAACCACGGGCTCCCACGAAAATGCCTAAGATTCATTCGTGCTACTTACGGTAGTAAAAATGTGATCAATCCACTTGGGAATTCTCAGTTGTCTCCAAATTTGAGGATATAGTGAACATCTTGTGTTATCATACATCTCAGGCCCGGACCCAATAAGGTCATTTAGGGAAGGATTTAGCTAAACTACAAATTTCAAACACAGGATTTCGTGACGTTGGATATCATTTTTTAAAGTTGTGAAATTTACATTCAAATCGTTCATACTGCACATTATCTTGCGTTTCATATAGTAACTGTTGTATCAAAATATTGTATTATTACTGTGAAACTCAGAAAACCGTGAATACCAGAAATATTTAAGGATTGTTATTGTGTAGGCTAGCAAGGAAAAAGCCAATTAAGCGTGAGAAAACTAAACCGCAAACACCAGCGGTAAAAAGGCCACGTTGAATATATCAATATTCTAACATAAGTTTCCGAGGCTTTCAGGACAAACTTCTAGTTTGGTGATGTTCTCTTTGTATCCAAGTCTCTTTTAGGAATTGAAAGACAAAGGAAACTTAAAAAATTTCAATTTTGACCCGAAAGCCTCAGATCGATATTAGAATATTGATATATCGAACGTGGCCTATTGGTTGTGGTTTTGAGGTTTTCTCGCATGTCCCGAACTTTATTGTGATTGGTTCAGTATCAAATTAGCCTTTTGGAATCGGTTTTCTGAGTTTCACAGTAATAAAAAAAAAGCGATTGCATAAATTTTAAATCCACTGACCCAATTCCTGAGTCCTCACATTTCCATATTTTATGGCGATGAGACCATTTCCGTTCCGGGACCATTTACGGTACAATCTGGGGATCATTTGCGGTACTGGGATCATTTGCAGGCCTGTACAAGCCTTTCGATTTATTATTGTATTGTGATAAGCCTGATAAGATGCAACTTTATGTTAAATTAAAAAAAAAATGTCTGGTGGGTTCAGAGCCACCTTAAATTTTCAAAATTTGAGTTTCGTTTTTGAATTATTTGCAGTTAAAGCTGAATTTAAAGGTGTTTTAAGCAGGTTATGCTGTTGCTATGGCAATCTATTTTGTCACGAAAACGATAACAACGTGCTCACCAATGATCTAGCAGTTATAATGACCCATCAGTCTTGAAAAGTTCTTTAACCGTTACTAGCCCATTTAAGATGTTTCCTGGCTTTACCTCAAGTTCTCGTTCTTCTAAAATCAGAAACGGGACGACAAGTAATGTTTGGAAATCGTCATTTCATCTTGAAGTCGCGACAGCTTACAGCTGCCAATTTTACAAAAAGAAAAAATAGCTCTTGTTTCATTTATAGGCAACAATCTTTTGTTTCGATAACATTTAGTTAATGTTCTACGGCATCATAGAGACATTTCTTACCAATGCACTTTGTCCCATTTGTTATGTAGCCTCGACGGCAAGCGCACACTCTCTCCTTCCCTTGTCTGTTGTTACAAGTTTGTTCGCAACCCCCGTTGTTTGGCGAACAGTCATCAATATCTATCAAAGATGAAAAGAAGAATTGCACGGTCGTATAATGCACGTTTTCATCAAGATATGGTTACATAAAGTATTATATGGTTACATATAGTATCAGTGCCTGTAGCTGTAACTCCCGCTCGTTGGGTACCTCCAAACTCTGACTCGAAAAGTAAACCGATTCCGTGTTTGCCGCAGATAGCTTCAAGACGTCTTGTTTATTGTTCGTTGATATCCGAATGTATTTGGTTCTTCAACACCGTGACTCCAGATCTAGATTTGTATTGCGAACACACTTCGCGCTAACCGAAACTTGGCTCGAATGGCTTTTAAATCATCTTCAGTGATAAATTTGATAAATTTGGTTTATTACATAGTTATAAAGAAACCCCAAAATGATACAAATGCAGTGCATTATTTCCGTGATCCTACCAGCACGGGCTAATTTTTTTCTCTCTCTCTCTCTCGATCTCCCTCCCTCTCAGAGATTTTGCCTATGACATTGTATCGACGAACAGTAAACAAGACACCTTGAAGCAATCCGCGGCAAAAACGGAATTGTTATATTTTTCGGGTCGGAGTATTTTTCGGGTAAACCTGAGTTTTCGAGACATCCAGAGGGTCTGAGTTTTTAGGGACTGATCTCTGAGTTTTCGAGCACTGGGTTTCCGAGACGCTCCCTGCTGGTTCGCTTCGATCACGAATCGCTCGATGTTCATGTAGCTTAGGTTATAATAGGTTATAATAAAAGCATATGTAGAAACAAATTTCCCTATATTTGCTATCGCATTCCCTCATTAGGATTATTGTGCTAACATGTTCTTATAACATAAACGTTATATTACAAGGCTGCAAGAAATCATGCGTGCCTGCAAAATCACACAAATTGCACTGATGCGGGGGCCAATATTATTTCAATTGAAATCTTCGCTCCCTTTCAGCTGTTTCAGTTTGTTCCTGTTCGTGTGAAGACTCGAGAGTATAACAACTAAATCATTATTACCCAGGCAGTGAGGCCTAGGTTTAAATTTTGGCGTTCAGCCACAAATCGCCGTCTGGTCTCTAAAGCGCATGCGTCCTCTGTGTATGCGTACAGCACACAGTCTCGTTCCCAGAGTCTTCGTTCCCCTTGACCAGCGGTCGGAAAACGAGAGTTCTGGAGCAACCATTTCAGGCGTGCACCATAGATGCAGACTGCGCAGTGAAACCGGATGGGCAGAATTTGGTTATTTCAAAATGGTTGCTCCCAGAGCTCTCGTTTTCCGGCCGCTGGTCAAGGGTAACGAAGATTCTGAGAACGAGGTTTTACAGCACATGGGAATTTACAGAAGTTGTCGTCGTAAAAAGTTAGCACGGACCATGATTTCCAGGGCGATGAAATCACATACAAATGAACACACCGTTCGCGGTAGACCAACACTAAAGGACGTTAAGCGTGTTCCGAACGGGTCGGTCTGCAAGCCTTACGAGAGATCAGTTTACGAGCGAACATTTTGACTGAATTTATCAAGAATCATGTTATACCAAAGGAGCTATCAACCGGGGCTATCAACTCTTCAACTTGATAAAAAGCATCTGCAGAAGCGCCATCGTATTTTTAGACGTCATCGTGAACCAANCAAGAATCATGTTATACCAAAGGAGCTATCAACCGGGGCTATCAACTCTTCAACTTGATAAAAAGCATCTGCAGAAGCGCCATCGTATTTTTAGACGTCATCGTGAACCAAGTAGAATCCCAGCACAAACGCAAGAACGTCTGAGCAGTAGGAGCAGAAAGGTTAGAGAATTTGTCTACGAATGTATCTGTTCGAGTACACCTAAGTAAACGCTCTGAGAAACTTCGTAAAGTATAATAAAGTTAAAATCTCGAACTAAACGATATTCTCTCGTTATTTTCTTGTGACAGAGCTATGTGTCTTTACAAGAATGAAACCCATGTAGCGAATTATCGTACATTTAAGCTGAAAGAAACTCATGTATGTTGACCGCAGCAAAGCAATTCTTGGCTTGCACTGTCACGCAATCCTGACGCAATAAAAAAAAAAAATTGTTCGAAAACCATTTAGTGGATAAAGTCAAGAAATTGAGATGTTATAGGAGATTAATAAAGATGACACTTCTCTAATTTTCAAGTCTGTGCATTTTCCCAAACCTCAGATATTCGTCGAAATATTTTGCACAAATTTACAGAGCCCAGTATGGAGCCGCCATGTTGGTTACCTCCGCGGCACACCAACATTGCGGCCGGAAAATAGTGTAAACATCTGGAACTTCCACTGCCTATCTAGGCGACTGACTATCTGTACTGAACAAACAAGCATTTACATGAGCACTTTTCCTAATACTTTAACTCCTGAATGGGCTAAAAATCACGAGATAAGTATATGTTTTCCGACAAACGCGTTCGCACATGTAGCTCTATGTCACGCACCGCCATAACTGAAATTCAAAATGTCTCGCTTGCTTGGGAAACGCAAAAAAAGAAAACAAAACAACGACAAAGGTTAAGGAAAATAGACTGAAACGTTTATAGGCTGATACAAAAACCTTGACTCATTTCACGCCCTAAAGGCCTGCAAACGAGTAATAAGCTATTAATCGATTCCAAGAAATGCAGTCAAAGGCACAATAGCTTGAGCACATCGATTCGATTGAATTTCGTACGACTTCAAATGCAGATCTGAACATTTAGCTCAATTGCAATATGGCTAGTGCTTCTCGGTATAACGACTGCCTGGGTACACGCAGCAAGGCCTCTAGTTCAGACATACATCCTTACGAGCCACGAAAAATGGTGATGCCAGCAATCACATTGCTGTACATCATCAACTGACAAACCACAACATTGACTGGGACTCTGTTCAATGCTCAGCATATAAACCTTTTTTCGAGCTGAATCGAATTCTTTCNAATGGTGATGCCAGCAATCACATTGCTGTACATCATCAACTGACAAACCACAACATTGACTGGGACTCTGTTCAATGCCTAACCTACGGTACAAACTATTTTCACCGACTGACTCTGGAAAGCTGGAACACTAACTTAGAACAAACGCCTCTCAAACAGATGTCAACAACTGCCAACGCCTTAAAAACGACTTATCCACGACGTAAACGAAACCGACCAATGGACTTCTAACAGACCGAGTAAATTTGAATAACAATAGACGGACCTCAAACCGACCAATTTGACTAACAGTAGACGGATCGAAACCGACCAATGACTGATGACAAACTTTACACCAGTCTTTCAGCCAATACCATCATGGACCAGACTTGTAACACCATCGACTGACAAACAGTATTCCCTTGACTCTGAAGATGACTTCTGCTCGGTTTGTCGAAACATCAGTCACCAACAACAGTTCTTTTCATAACTACCCTCATCCGTACGATCACACTATACGAACTACTGATAGCAACTTTGATCGAAATGGAGGGAACATAACACGTACGCACTCGTCGCTTTGCAGTTGGACCGGTGTATCCGAACCAATCGCTAGCATTGTGCTCTTTTGAATTCGTCTTTCGGAAACATAAGTATGGCAATGCCTTCCGTGAAAGTGGTGTTTTTCCAGCTCACCAAAACAGGCCCTCCGGTAACGAAAAAGTTCCCAGTCCTTCGCTTGTTCCTCTCAGCTGCCATGATGGCTAGAAGGTTTTACACACCTTATGACGTCAACGGTCCAAATTTGCATATTTTGTCCGAGCGCGGAATATCGCAAATTTTTGACTTGAATTGGCCAACTTTGAAGCAGGAGAAAAAATAAATGCGCGCTTGTCCAAAGCCCAAACTTGAAAATTACGAATCAGAGGATCATAGAGTTCAATATTTTAGAATAAAAAAGTTGACAAATATTTCGTTTCATAGGCACTTAAAGTAAATTGTGTTAGTATGGAGTAAACATTACGCATATAGGCAAAGAAATGGCTTGGTTTTGACAGACAAGTACCTAAGCTACAAGTAGGTCCAGTCCATCCAGAGGTACAATTACAGGTATCGGGAGATACACATGTCCCACCATTATTGCATCCAAGGTAGCAGATTGCTGTTAAAACATAGGTAAACAGATTAATCGTTTCATGAGTGCACATAAAGCATAATAGAAAGCCCAATCAACCAACAAATGTCCAAATACCTTAAGTAGAGGGCCTCTTACCGTGTAAGAGGCCAAGTCTGTAGAAAATTCCCGTTTGAAAACTGTAAACCTAAGTAACATTTTTAACTTGCTTGACTTTGGCTGTCTTTCTTTCTATATCTCTCTCTTTCTTTCTCAATTTTCTTTTTTCGTTCTTTATTTTTTTCTCTCTTAATTTCTTTCTGTGTGTCTGAATAGTGGTCGGTCGGGTGGTCTATCTGTCTCGATTATGTCTGCCTGCCTACCTGTCTAGCCGTCCATCCATCTGTCTGTCCTTCGTTCCGACTGTTTGTCTGTCTGTCTTCCTGTCTCCAGTCTGTCTGTCTGTCTGTCTGTCTGTCTGACTGACTGACTGACTTTCCGTCTGCCTTTCTGTCCGTCTCTTCGACTGTATGTCTTTTGGTCTGTAAATAGGAATTTCAGTGTATGAAAACGATATAAACTTTAGAACTTAAGATAGAGTCAAGGCCTCAAACCTTTTGGGCATTCATTTCCAGATTTGCGATATCCACTGCAACAGGACAGGTGAGTGTCAAAATCCCTTTTGAACCTCATCTGAGACTTGTAACCAGTTTCCGTTCTAACAAAGAATAAAGCAGTGATGGTTAAGACACATGGTCTAGATATTTACTTAGACCCAAAACTACATTCGAGCCAGTTAATGTCAGCTACAATGTATGGTTACACGTAATCTCCCCAGTATGAATATTCAAATAGGAAATTGTACAGCTGATGTCAGTCTCAGCAACGGCAATTAGAGAAGATGGAAACCTCGCTGATAGCGGCCTCAAAAGTAAGGTGGTCTTTGAACCCCCCCCCCCCCCCCACCCTCCCCCCAAGAAATGACTTTCAGGACAAAGAGAAAACAGAAAGCGGTAACAAACATAACAAATAGTATGCTCAACTTGACGTTTCGTATGTTACAACACACTTCTTCAAAAGTAGCCGTTACAAAATATCACATGTTGTAAGATACGAAACGTCAAGTTGAATATACCATGCGTAATCTTTTTATGTTTGCTACCGCTGTTTCTTATTTTTTTTTTTTTTCTTTCTTCCGAAATTGAAATGGCCGAAAAACAAGAGTTTTCAAAAATAATTTTTTTGTAAAAACAAATCTGTGGGACAGTTTTGGTACCACGTTAAAGGACCTCTCAGTCTGACTTCAAAAATGTGCTTTTCAGGCTGGTTTTCACTAGCGACGGAGTCGTAATCGGAATCGTAGACGGAGTCTTAAGAGAGCTTATGACCTAGTGAAAATCGAAAATCGGAGTCGTAAGCGGAGTCATAAGCTCGACTGATTCGGAGTCGGAAGAATCAGAACGTTTCCATTTCTTCCGATTTCGTTCAAGACTCCGTCGTTTATGATCCATTGAAAACTAGATTGTCGGAGTCGGAAGCAGAAGCGGAAGAACCAACCAATTCCGCTTCTGCTTGCGACTCCGACCATGCAGTTTTCACTAGATCGTAAGCGACGGAGTCATAAACGGAAACGGTGTTCTGCTTCTGACTCCGTCGGTTTGATTTTCACTAAGTCGTATCGCTCTACGCTTCTGATTACGACTCCGTCGCTAGTGAAAACCAGCCTTTCGAGTTCGCATGCCAAAAAAAGTTGTGTTCATTATAATCACGATAACTTAATGATGAATGGTTCGAGAAAGATCGAATTAAGTTCATCGTGCCCATAAGCAAATTGTCCTAGTGACAAACCTCTGAAAACAGTGTTTTCAGTTTTTTTTTCATCATTACGTTAGCAGCTTGTGCTAGTTTCGTGTTTCTATCGAGTTTTAGTATAGATCTTCTAGCGTCCTAACACGAATGCCGTTCTCCGATTGGCTACGCCACTTACTATCTATTCTGTGATAGACAGTGAGTAGCATAGCAGTGTGCCCGTGTTAACAAAATGAGGGCCGCTTCTTGGCGTTTTCGAAGTGTCTGTGAAGAAGCTCATAATCTAATTGTTTAATAACTAATATTAATTATATTAACTGAATAACAGGGAAAACATTTCATAAATTGAGAATTTTATTGGTTTGTCACCTAGATAATTGTGTTCTTTACTAGTGAGTATTGAGACTTCTTGGTATTGAACACCGAATTTATTATTTGGCCCAACAGTTTTATTCTGGACCGGACGCTCTAGTTATCTACTCGCATTTGATTGGTTTATAAACAGTGGAAATGAGTGGTCTTCATCATAGCATGCACACGCACCAAGTTTTTCAATATGTCGCCTGAAAAGCTCGGGAAAGTTTCGAAACGGTTACATCAGCCGCTGCAATAAGAAGTCTAAGTTTTTTTCCTTCTCGGCGAATATCGGAAGTCCCGGCGCTTGCCGTAATGGACAGAACAAAGGAACTGAGCGACGAAAAAACACAAAACTTTCCCAAAACGCGAAGACCGCGAAGCGACGGCCAAGAAAAGAGCCCGAAACTCACACTAACCTTCAAGACTCCTCAAGCAGGGAAGCGGGTGAGTGGGGGGAAAGGGGCAACAATCTGACCGGCTCCCGAAACATGTAGTTAAAGTGCACCTAACCCCAAAAAATTTTCTTCGCTAAAACGAATCCACTTGTTATTCGAAGCATTTGGGCGAAAAAGTTTTTGAATTTGGTTGAATCCTCGATTTTCTATGCCCTTTCAAAATCGCGCCTGAAGTGTTACACGACCGCGTTTCAGGGAGTCTGGGCGGCGGTTGCTGATGACGTCTACCCAGGAACCAAACACAGTGGCGCCTCAGTCAGCTCTCTGTATTT